GGGGGGGGGGTAGAGTGAGGGTTATTCTGTTTGATGTCGTTAAGTCTTGCCATGTGTTTGGGGGCACTGCACGGACGGGCCTTGTGTCTATCGTACCGTGACGGAGTGGGAAACAAGCCACGTAGCTTGTAAGCGGGAAGGAGCGTTTTTCTTAAACAATCAGTATTTTCACCATCGCTGCTTCGGGAGGGGCAGAGCCAAAGGATCTTTTTCATCGCGTGTCTACGGGCTATGTTAGTATGTATGTTGCGGGGGTGTACCTACGACACGACCCTAGCTACATGTATTTGTTGCTGCTGCCTGCCGACGACTAGCATGTTCAGGTCGTCTGTCTCAGCATTGCTGTCGGTCCCGAGGACACAACGCGAAAATTGAACACAGAACCTGCACACACACCCTAAGGAAGATCGTTTTGCTGTTCCAACGCGTTCCATTAGTGCTGACCAATAGACTTCATCACATGTCTTCATTGAGCTCCCCCCCTCTCCGGATGCCCATTGCTCCTCCTGGCGATACGAAAAGGTACGAATGCTGAGGGAGGGAGAGGACGACGGGGCGGGGCCTCCGCCGGCTTCTTCTCGCAAGTCCTCCAAGAGCGGGGGCGGCAAGAAAGGGAAGGGGAAGGGGAAGGGCGCAAAAGGCGGGAAAAAAACGCCTCCGCCTGCGGCCGTGGCGACCGGTGCTGGCGGTGGAGGGGGTGTGGTTGAGGGGGGAGGCAGGGTGGACTCTAGCCACCTTTGCTTCGAGTACCACAGGTAGGAGGGGTGGGGGTATGGTCCCGCGAGGTAGTTGTTGCCATCGTCTTGAGAGGCTGTTTTCTACTTTGTCACGCGTAGCGGAGGCGTCTTCTGTTTACTCGACGCCCTGCCTTTCTCTGCTGAATGTACAGTAGCTTTATCCGGGAAACCGTGCCGATTCCGCTTGCACCCGACAGCCCACCGTTTTTGGGAAATCTGCATGTCTCATACAGCTACGCAGCTCACTAAGGATGCCCTCATGAAACGGAAGCTCCAACAGCGGGAGAGCTGTTTGTCTACACACACACCGTCGTATGTGTGACTTCTCAAGGGTGTGGTTCCTGTCTTATGGTTGTTCCTACTAAGGACAAAGTTGTGTTTCAAAAATCTACACGGGGTAATTGACCTAGACACGTGTGCGTCTGTGGTTGCTCTCTCTTTTGAGCAGGTGCATGATCGCCGGCGCCGCTTTTGCTGACTTCCGCATTACCACCGGCACAAGTGGCGGCGGCGGCGGCAGCGGCAGCGATGGGCAGCAAAAAGGTAACCGAGCCGGCGCCCGAGCGCCCACCGCTCTCGTGATTGGCCTTGGCGGGGGCGCTCTTCCTATGGCTCTTCGGCGAATGTACCCAACGGTGAAGGTGGCCACCGTAGAGCTGGACCCTGAGATGGCGGGGGTAGCCAAGGACTACTTCGGGTTGAGGGAATCACCAGATGGCCTCAAGGTGTGCTCGTGTGAAGGAGCATTCGGGTACCGTCCGGGGAGTTACTGCTGTGATGGTACGGTTTGTATTGCCACGGTCGGGGTAAATACTTGTGGACTGTGTTGGTGCTGTTATGGGGACTGAGTTGATTCCATGCGTTGAGAGAGAAAGCTGGTTGAGTGTTGTTTTTGGTTCTCAGGATCACCGGACCACCAATGTGTCACGCCGGGTACTGTTCGATACCGTCGTATAGCCTTCGGTCACACGGTGACTGGAACGCTTAATCTAGACTAGGGTCCGTCGCCGCTTGGCTTTGGTTATGCATGGGGTGCAGCATCATCTCCCCAACGCCTGCTTGCCGCTACCGCTACCACTCCCACCGCCCTTGCCCAGGTCATCGTTGAGGACGGTGTAGCCTTCGTGAATGCCGCGGTTGCTTCTGCTACTGGCGAGGATGGGTTGTCTGCCAACGCCGCCCGGCTTGATTCAACATCACCACCATGCACGCAACCGACTTCAACGCCCGAGCTATCGGGCACCCCCGCGGGCTCAGCCCCTGCGGCGGCCGACCCTCCAAAGCCGGCGGCAGCGAGTCTTGCCACGGAGACGGTGCTACCGCCTCGGCCCCCCGACGCTAACGATCGCAGCCATCAAACCGGATGGGGAGAAGCGTTCGGCCCGCCATACTCGGCCATTTTTCTCGACGTCGACAGCAAGGACACGTCGGTGGGGATGAGTTGCCCCCCGGCCGCGTTCCTAGAGCCCGCCTTCCTGACCAACTTGAAAACCCTCCTACATGGTGGCGGTGGTAGTGGTGGTGGCGGTCAGGGGGGTGCCGGGGGACCTGGGGTTTTGGCGATCAACGTGGCCGCGCGGTCGAAAGAGCTTTTTGGCGGGGCGGTGGACGCTGTTTGTGCAGCGTTTGCAGGAGGAGAGGTGAGTGCCATCTGCGGTCGATAGGTTCTAAATCTTTTGCTTGCATTTCCTGCGTACAACGGCGAACCAATCCGGAGAGGCGAAAGGTGATGAGGCAAACGTTACGTGGGAAACGTCTTGTGCTTGCTGGATATGTTGGTACCCAGGGTTGACTGAGCTACAATGTTTTGACGCTTGGAACAGGTCCACAAACTCCGTGCTGGTGCGGACGACGTGAACTCCGTGGTGCTGGCGTTACCCAGACCGAGGGGACGCGCGCGATCGGGCCCCCTGTTGGCGGTGGCTGAGCAGGCGCTGACGTCTGCGACGGTTTCCAGGAAGTGAGACCGACTGACGAAATGCTTGAGCAAGTGGATCGGATTCGTGTGTGTGTGATGGCGTTTTGGAGTGTATTTTCGAGGTAAAAAGGGCCAAGAAAAAAGTTGGCGGAACGTGTTTGGAGGTAGTTTCTGCGTAACCGTCGGTTTTCCTTTTCTTGTTCTATTTCCGTGTGGCGATCTGCTCTCTGCTTGGATGTTTATCTCTTGCGCGTTTGGTTGGTCCTTGACCTTGTTCTTGCCGTACGCACCACCATCGAACAGCCGCAAGACGCTTCATCTAGCCACACAACCATGTGTGCAATGCGGCAGGCACCACGTCTGGCAAGAAGCCACGACCGGGTTGCTTGTGCTGTTTGTTTTTTCTATCGTGGCCAGCACGTTTTTCGCTTACATCTACCCCGTGTTGCTTGTTGTTTGCTCCTGAGCACATGCCACGCAAAACTCCTGATATATATTTTTACGAGTTTACCAAACATTTCGAGTGTGGGTTCCACGCGCGACTAGCATTCCATGATTTCTCCCATGGCTTCCGCGGATCAAGGCGTCCAAAGGTGTCCGTTGCCTCAACGACCAGACGCGCCGTCGTGTTCAACCCTGCCCTACCCCCGTCCCCGCTCAGAGCGCTGGCGAGCATTCTGGAAATGTGTGATCGTGCCGAGATGGTGCAAGCGGCGCAACCGCCCAAGGTGAATTCCAAGACAACCGCTGGCGGGAAGGGCGGGAAGAGCAAGCGCTCGGGCCGTTGAGAGCTGCTTGTTGAGCAAGGCTCCCGGTGTCTGGCTACAAGTTTACGAAGGGGCGAGGATCAGGGAGACCCGCCACAGACTGCTGGTGCTGTTTTCGTGGGGTCAGCAGAAGCGACCCAGCTCATCGGTACGCAACAGGGGCAAGGGATATATTGAAATAGCCTCTCCCATGGGACAACAGCGACCCACTTGCCACTTCCTCAGGCCGAGGAGGCGCAGAGGATTTTGTCCTTTGCGTCGAGAACCGTTGAAAAAAAGGGTCGAGGCATAGTGGTACGGGCTTTGAAGGGGTGCGGAGATAGACAGCGAGACAATCGCGACGCACTTCTCTTTCTTGGATGTGTTTTCCGTGGAGGAACTAGACTAAAGAGGCTCCAACCGCCGTAGTTGCGAATGCAGGCCGCCAGCAGTAGTAGTATATCCCCCCTCGCCTACCTGTAGTCCTTTTGTATGCACCGTTTCCCAGAAGATTTGCTGGATATGTGATGTTGTTATTGGCCTTGTGCCAAAACTGCTACCCAGAACATGCTTGGTTGTTTGGTGAAGGTCGTGGATTCAACATCCCGGCGTTACACAGCGGTGTTTCGGGAGCGCTTGTTCCTGGGTGAAACAAGTTCGACATTACATGACATGATTGGTGACGAGCGAAAGTAGATTCCAGATCCTTCCTCGTCATGCGATCGAAGGCATGCAGCGCTGGCAATTCTTCCGTGCGACTCACTCTCACTGAGGATCCGTGCCCCTCGGCACAAAAGCAAGGAGGGCCATACATGGTTTGGATTGATATCGCAAGCGACGGTTTCAGAAGTGATCGCTTCAAAAAATCATAAACGATGGAAGTCATATCCTCTTATGTTTTTGCCGAGGAGCCGGCCGATTGGCCAGATAAGCCGTTCCTAAATAGCAGTGCGCACCACCGTTGCTGTTTGAAAAATGCATGAGTTTCGTATGCCTACGTCGCCCAAGATGTCCATTGTTTGGGTGCATCATCCCTGTTCGAGTTACAACAGACAACTACCCTTGTTCTTGCTCCTCCTTGTCCTCCAGAACTGTAGCACCAACCGACGCATGGTGCTGTTCACGCCGCCGCCGTGCGATGCACGTGCCTCCGCTCTATACTCAAGTGTACCCAATCAAGTCGCAACACGTCGCAGGCTAGTTACTGCTGCTATAGGCTCCTTCGTCTGCTGCGGCGCCTACCACCGGGGTCACCTCGAACGATATTGACGTCATGACGTCATGCCGGGCGGAAGAGCTTTCTCCGAAGTACATGTCTAGTCTAAGGCGTCTCGGTTGATCCACATCTAGAAAAAACAACCACTGACTGATGCGAGCGCCAGCTCTCGAGAGACCTACGACAAAAGATGGTTCTATAGAGACGTTTGACTCTGAGGTATTACTCTAACGCTCATCGTCGAGATACACCCCCGCCCCGCAGTTCATGTTATCATGGTTGCCTTCGCGGCCCGTGGTTCCCTTTCTCTGCAACACTTGTCTCCAGGATGCGGTTAGAGCGTCTTCAAGATGTTCCCGTCGTCGCCGTTGCTGTTGCTGCTGCTGCTGCTGCTGCTGCTGCTGTTGTCGGTAGTGTTTTCTCCGCCGGTCGGATGTCCGCTTCTTTTCTTTCCCTATCGAAGGACTTCAAGCTGTCCACCAGCTACGCAAAAAGACAAACAACGAATGCGACATTCTTCTCAAAGAGACAAACAGACCATGATGCGACGGCGACACATACGCAAGATCTCTGGTTGCGCTCATCAAGACACGGCAAGGAGGCACAGGTCAAGGCCACGGCTAACGCAATATCTCCTCTAAACACGAACAACACGCCCCAGAGAAAGAGGGAACGTTGTCGCTACTATTGTACTACCAAAGAAGAGGTTTACTTTGGAGGTAGAGGACACACTCGGAGAATCTACGGAGTACATGATCATATAATCCATGGATTTTGTACGTGATTCCGATCCTCGCTGCCGACGGTACCAGGCCGCGGCAACATTCTTCTCGCTGGGAATGGTCATGACCGCTACTGTTGTCTGTGGAGCGACAGGCCTGGCGTACAGCCTCGTATTAGCGAGAAGAAACATGTTCCGAGGGTTCTGAGGGTAGAATGACGTAGGGCAAGTACCCCACAGACGTCCCGAATCGGCACCACATGACGATGATGACGACGATGGGAGCGGTGTGATTGGTGCAGTATAGCAAAAACAGAACGGTCATGGTTCCAACGATAACACACAAAGCTTTTGCTCACCCTCGGAGGCCACCTGAGCTGGTCTTTGAGATAGGAGTCCTTCAGATACATCTGCTGATCCACGATGTTTATGCCTCTCCAAGCTCCTTCCGCCGCCTTCATGTCCCCTCGGCCAAATTCGATCGCTGTCATCGCCGCTTGAACCTGAAACGGGTAAGCATTAGTTCTTCATAAAAAAGATGCCACGTAAAATCTACACTGGACCGTACATGCACCTGGTCGTGTTCAACCCAAACTCCATTTATTACCATGGGCTGGCCGTGTATCAGTCTGTATCGCTCCGCGAGTTAGTACTCGAAGGCCTGACTTTTTACGAGGTTGGGCGGGTTCGTTGTCCTTGTCTTGGATGTTCAGACAAACTGGCATTCATGCCGCATATCACTATGTTCTTAACTATAGAAGAAGGACCATTCGGATACAAATGTGGCTGTCCCAACGATCCTACGCTAGATTTACGAACCGAAGTGGTAGATATTCTTGGGTGGCAGCTGGCATCAAAGGAATTGCACTCGTGGGGAATTGAGTTCGGCGACTGGCCTGGTAGGAAGCAACAACGGTTCCTGCTCTACACCATCTGCTTCAACCCGCCTCTCTCTGTCTCACACCATTCGAGAGTGAGCTATAATATGACCTTTCCGTACCGCTCTACGTATTCACGAACATACCTCGCCCACTCCCTCGAACTTGGCCTGTACCCGTTTGAGGAAGGCCAGGCTGTCGAAGTCCCTCCCCTCCTGGAATAGCACAAGCGAGTACCTTATCCACCACGGCTGCACGTTCCCCGGCTGCACGTTTATCGCCCCTGCTCTCAACCAAGCGTCGAAAACCACGGAACGAACAGAGAGGGGGGAGGGGCACCGCGTAATGCGTAGGGGTGGGCGAGACGCGGGAGAAGGGAGGGCATCACAGCAGTGTGTTCCCGGTTTCCTGCAAGTCGTGCGTTGGACGGCCTCGTCCCCACGTTCTGTCCCGCTTCGAGGCTAGCGGAGCAAGCGCGTGGGGAACGGGGGGTCTGGCTTCCTTCATCTCGTTGGGCTTTGCGGAAAACCTAAATATCACCGTGACCAAACAAGAATACCTATGGGTAAGGGAGATACATGGAGTCAAGTTTCGGATGAAATTCAACGGAGATCTTCTGTGTGCGCATGTACTAACCCTGCGGTGACACTGTTCGAGGTTCCCCCTGCCCACCCCGTGCGGACCGACACCAGCCAACACCGTCGGCACCCACAAAAGAAATCATGCGTGGGCAGCTATCCTGTGTTTCCGCTTGTTTCCGCTGCCCCCCTCACCGCCCCTGTCCTCCCGCACCCGCCCCCGTGTCAATTTCGTCTTTCTTCTTACGCTGCTCGCCCTTTCATACATTGCTTGGGCACAGGTCACACGTGCAAAATCGGTTCCCACAACAAAGGACGGAGGTACAGCAACACCCCTACATGTACGAAAACACCACCTGCGAAGCAACACCAACAAACCAAAATCCCTCCTCTTCTCGCTCACCCTCGTAATCGGCCAGGGCTTTCGCCCAGTCCCCCCTTCGTTCGAAAGCCTGTGCGCGGTTCGCCTGCAATTGTCGGAGGCGGGGCGAGGGGCCGACATTTGAAAAGAATACGGTCTGCTCGCCAACTCCCGCACTGATGCTAGGGGTGATGTTACTGGTGACGTTAAGCGATGGTGGTAATGGTGGCTTTCACAGCAGTGCGCATTTGCTTTCTCCCTCCTCGTCCACATGCTGGTTGATATATGGGGAGAACAAACAGGCAAGCAAGGGAGCACGAGTGTAGCAGTCAACAAAGCCTTCGTGCTTGGACAGCAAGTGTTTCGAGTACTTCGATAGAGAGCCTGAACAAAACTGCTCGACCTCTGAATTGAGAAATGGATGTGCTGACTGAGGACGCGTGGGCGAATCGTAGAGCAGCTGGGAGAGTCACGTCGCCATTCACAAGCTAGCTATCATTGTGACACTGGGCAAAACCAAGCCCTGAGAGAGAGAGAGAGACAGAGAGAGAGAGAGAGAGCAAGGGGGGTATAGAGAAAGAGAGAGGGATAGATATATAGCGAAAGAGATGGATGACTACAGCTCGCAAGCTGATAGCCTCTCGTGCCGTCATCCAAACCTGCTTGGGATTATCATTTCAACAAATCCAAAAAAACTACCGCAGACTGTAAAAAACATCACACTCCCTGAAACGATTTCAAAACTTCGGTTCATCTGCAGCAGAAACAGATTGACGGTGCCGAAAATGGCGGCGTTGGAACCGTCTCTTCGAGAGCTTTTCGAAAATGCATCACTTGACTGCTGTGGCATACATCCTTTGTCGTCGTGGGAGTACGTGAGCAAAAAAAACGGTTCGGGGTGTGTGGTATCTAATGCAACCTATGATAGATTATTCAACCACGAAAACGAGTGTCATCGATCTACTAGTAGTCATGTTTTCCATGAGTACTCAACACAAGCCAGCGACGGACTCACGTACCACACCGGGAGGTAGGTACAGTAGTATCTCACCAGGGTGTAAAGATCCTTGGAGGTGTTGAGCTTGGCGGCCTGGTTAAGGTCCGACATCGCCCGATCGTCGTCTCCCAACGCCATCAGCGTTGTACCCCTGTAGGTAAGCAAACAAACCCACCGCCACGACGGATCGCGATCGCGAGAATCACAAATAGGACTGTCTGGCAACTTGGCGGAAGTGGGCCACAACCAGCGATCGTACGGGTGACGGTTGTCACTCCTGCGGTGTGTGACGGTTGTATATCATTTTCTCATCCTCAGGCGAACTACGAAACAATTAGTTTCTCCCTCATCACGCACACACCCTCAATGCCAATCTACTGAGTAGCAGGTTGCCGGGGTATCTCGACAGCTTGCTATGTGTGGTGCTCAGCGTGCACTACGGGATGAATGCCGACGACACGCGAACGACAATAACGCCGGAGCGTTCCTCCTCGTACTCAAGTCTAGTGCCCGCAATAAGGCCACATCCATTGAACGACGACCCCAGTTGTCTTGCGTCAATTTACGAGGGCCAACAGCCATGACACCCGCCCCTCAAATGTTGAAAACACAGTTGCTACGAACATTGGCCAACAGGGCGAGTGCACGTGTGCGTGACGCTGTGGGGTTCATTTGTCTCTCTAGTCACGGTGTATGGAGCGACAATAGCATGCTCGGAAGCAATACTAAGAAGCATCGGTAATTATGGGACGAATCGGAACGCAAAACACGGACCGCAAGGATACCTCCTGTTGGAATGCTGAAAGGTGAGCATCACGGGCAAAACGTTGTTGTTGTTGTTGTTGTTGTTGTTGTTGTTGTTGTTGTTGTTGTTGTTGTTGAAATTGTCGTCGGAGTTATAGCCGTTGTAGTTGCTGCCGCCGCCTGCGCAAAAAAGAGTGTGGTTGTGCTCCTCCTTAACCCAGCTCGAAACCCCGTACTATTGAAATACGTGCCACGCCCGGAGAGGCTGGTCTCATCACTGCCGATATTAAAAGAACACCATGGGCATAAAAAAATCAAGCCACGTTTCACCTGTTGAGGTAAATTATCCACTTGTCTGGCATATAGATTCCCTCCGCAAGTTGCAAAGCCCTGTCGTAGTCAGACACGGCCGCTTTCAAGTCTCCCTCCGCGATGAGCACGTTTGCTCTGTTGCTCCACCCGTACACGTACCCAGGGGCATACTTGACGACCTGGTCAAGCAAGGTGCCGAGTGGGTTGAGTGGGTGGGTTTGCAGGGGGCACGCAAAAAGTATCGATTCACGCACGTGGAAGGAGGGGTCACGAACAAGCGCAGCGTGTGATAAAAGCCGTTTTGACTCGCTAGGACAAGGCTTGGGCTCTCGCTGACAGGTTAATCACCATACTTGATCATCTCAAGAAGACGCTCGGCGCGCCGAGGGAATATTGATTTTCCACACGGGGAGATCGTTGCTACTAACGAATCGCGTAGATGCGGTGCGCTGGTGCGACGTCGAGTTTCTTTCGCCTCCACTAGGTCTAACGGACGATACGATGCACCAAGTATGCGGCGAGGGCAATTCAGTTCTGATTCTTCATTCAGTAACTGATTCAGTTCTGATTCTTCATTCAGTAACTCGAGTCGCCTGTTGGTGCTCCCTGCGCTTTGGATCTCGTGATCATGAGCTTGAGCTAAAAAGGAACTCGTCCAATTGATTGTACTTGTACCTAAGAATGGCTCGAAATTCGGGTTGAAATCTAGCCAACACATTTCGGGCATGGAGTCAGGCTTCAGCTGATGGCTACTCAGGCTTGAAAAAAACAAAGCTGTGAATTTTCATTTTGTC